ATCACATCAGATGACTGACGTACAAAAGACTTATTTAAGTCACAAACATTCAGCTGGTTATCGCTTCTAAACTTTCTGTCACCTGTAAGTTCCTTAAAGAATTTCCACATACTTGTAGAGTTTTTGCAAGATAAGAGTTTTTGAGTAAACATGCAGTTGAGACATCTAATCTCTAGGTTTATCAGACCATTTAGCTTCCGAACTTCATTTGAGTTCTTCTCCTTGTACATTCTTTCTTTCAACCTCCGTAGTCGTTTTAGTTGTGAAGATGTAAGTCGATCAAAACTTACAAAAATGGTTTCAGTGGGACAACAAATATCAAAACAGAATTTAAGGTAACGAGTGATAACATCAGTAGTGTTTTCGAGTGAGTCATTTGTAAATAATTCCCAGTTAGTCGTATGAAACATGTTTTTTAGATTTCGGATATTTTCTTCTGAGTAATTCCTATATTTGACTTTCTTGGTTTGATGTAAGAGTGTACTCTTCCCATGCTTTCCATATACTTTAGGTAGAACACGAATTAAACAGTGATCTGAGCTAGACAATGGAGCACGTTTACGTGTCACATATATACCCACATCATTAATGAAGACGAAGTCTGAATGAGCATCCAAACGAGTAGGAAAATCTACTACATTTTGGTGACCTAGTGACGTAAGGAAGCTACAGTCACATGAATTGAAATCACCACATACAACTGAAAGTGAATCACTGAAGGCAGTAACAGCGAACTCAGTGAATTCATCGGCAAAAACAGATAGTGCAGATGATGTGCAATCTGGAGTAACGTAGATATTGGTAACATAAACATATTTGTATTTATTCAGATGTTTTGGACGACATCTTAGAGTTAGACAGTCGATAAAGTCATATGAAAACTTAAAACACACAAACGAAGATCGACACCAGTTTATGTTTACAAACGTAGCTACACCGTCGCTACACTTCGTTTTATTGTTTGATCGATCTTGACGATAAATTTTGCAATCACGTAGTAATGCTAGGCAATCGTCCTGTGAATCATTTGACCAAGATTCTTGAATTGTGACGACACTACAATTACGATGCGTATTTCGACTTAGTAGGAATTGCAGATAGTCCACTTTGTTGATTAGTGATCGGCAGTTAGAATTTAGTAGCTCGGGAATCGACATACGATTGATGTTCATTCTCCTTAACGCATATTGCCAACCACCACGATGCCTTTTATAGTACTTTTTCGTAACTTGTGCAGCGAAAGGTTGTAGGCTTTTCATAAAAGCGCCTGAATAGGTTATGCGGTTAATGGACATAATTATAAATTAAAACAAATGAAAAACAGATAACTTGTTGAAATAATCAGATGGCAGAAATAGGTAGCCCAGATATTCAAGCAGGCCGCCTCAATAATGTAGATCAAGAAGAGAAGAGGTTCTAGTACTAAGCCCTGGTGGACCCCACTAGGATATTCCATAGCCTGAGATAAGGTGAAGTTAACCCTGACCTTAAAATGTCGATTTTTCAGATATGAAATGAGCCAATCAATTAGAGGTGGTCTGATACCCAATCGTTTGAGCTTATTGATAAGACATATATGGTTAACCTTATCAAAAGCTTATGAGAAATCAAGGTAAATGATATCAACCTTCCCTTTACGATCGAGGATGCTTGTCCATCTGTCCACCAAAGTGAGCACGTTGGTTATACAGGAATGACGCTTCCTGAAACCATGCTGTTGCGATGAGAAGAAATTTAAGGACAGTAAATAGTCATGTATACCATCGCATATCAGGGACTCCATGATTTTCGAAAGTATAGAGAGGAGAGCCACCGGTCGGTAACTTGGAAGTTTGCTGCGTCGACCTCCTTTGAAAATTGGTGTGATGTGAGCCAACTTCCAATTTTCCGATAGTTTGCCTCAGGTGAGCGAGTTGAAATGTCTGGGAGTAATGTTCAGCCAGAAGGTTATCGGCGTCGCCATCGTTGTTGGTCGGGCCGTTAAGACCCAGCAGTTGGGAAACTCCAGTTTTGGCTTGACGAAGAGAGGCTGCATAACGGAATAAGCTCTTAGGATTAGAGGAAGATTTGTCCATAAGCTTTGTCTAGTACTGAAGCCTGTCTACTCTTATAGCCTTCGTGCATATGTCCCTTATATGTTTATATTGCCTGTACGCTCCGTCGTTGTCAGTCCGTTTGTATTCCGCCCAACAGTGCTTTTCGTGACTTAGCAGGCGAAGGGTACGGTTATTGATGATTGAAGGTGGCTTGCAGCTTTTGGGAACCGTTTGAGGAACTGAATGGTTTGTAGCACGTAAGAGCGTGTGCAGTAAGCAGTCCCAATGACCGTCTACATTGAGTTGGGGGTGAACATCCCAAACCACCTGTTGTAGATAGTGGTGTAGAGCTGGCACATTCAACCGTTTGAAATTCCAGCGCCTGTTGTTAGTGGGATATCTGAGCTCAGTTTTGCTGACAAAACTGAAAGCTATAACAGCGTGATCGCTTCCCCCCAGGGGAGCCAGGATTGAGAGGTTGTCAACTAGGACTTTTTAGTTTGTGAATACACAGTCTAAGCGCGATGGTGTCTGACTCTCTCCAACGAGTTGCCGACCTCACATTTTCGTATAATCCCAAATTCTCAATGAGTTTGAAGAACCGAGCTTCAGTTGAGTTTTCACCTCCAATATACGTATGTTCCGCGAAATTGACTCTAGGGAGATTGAAGTCCCCCAGAATCAGGATATGAGTGAAACCGAGACGCGTAGAGCGGGATAGTCCTTCCAGCATACGACTGTCATACTCGATGTCAGCAGTGGGCTTCCTATATATGACTCCAACTAGGCACCTCAAAGTAGTAGACAATCTCACAAAACACCATAATAACTCATCAAGATTGTTAAACTGATGGTTGTGAACTTGGTGAACCTCCAAACAAGATCGTATGTATACGGCTACTCCACCCCCAATTCCTGTTTTTCTGTCGTTGCGGAACAAAGACATCCCAGGTAATGCTAACTATTGGTCCGAGAGCTGAGAAGAAATACAGGTTTCAGATGTTCCTATCAGATGGGCCTTATTAGCGTTCCTAAGTTCATATAATTCATCCAATTTGTTTGGTAGACTCGCGGCGTTCATGTATAAGCAGTTTATGCTTTCAATTTGGAACGCGTGAGCTTCGTCCTTTACACGTTTTTTATCGTCTAGACAGCCCACAAGTGGGATGGTCAGCTCCAACTTGCCTTTGTGTTTGGTCCTAGCTTCATATGGCCTATCCGGGTGCATGTGGATTCCAGGTGGCAATTGACGTCTGTTGGCACGAAATGACATGTGAGAAGATGGGAAGGTTATCTTCATTAGACGGGGTCTAGAATCACTATCCTTCTTGGCTAGTCTCGTCACATGCTGACTCAGTATGTGTTTGAGCCTCAAGGACTGCTTGATGAATTTCCATTCCCTAATTATCAGAGTTTGCTTGACTAGGGTCCGTATTTTCCGGTATACCTTGCACGATTATATTCCTCTCGCGAAAAAACTTCTCATGAGTTTCTTTGTGGATGTTCCGGATGAGATTGCGTTCAGAATACGGTATGTCAGGCAGTATTCTTACATTCCCACCTGACTTCAGTAAATGACTCGCTAGTAAGACATCCTCTACGTCAGTAGCATTCTTAAGTGTTACACGAAACAGCCTTGGGTGATCTTGATGCTTACATTCCTTTCCCCGAGTTAGCCGTGTGATCGTCAGAGGCTGTAATCTAGGAACTTCAAGCTTCTTATTCAATTCACTCCAGAGCATCCTGTCATTTTCGTCCTGCAAACTGAGAGGAAGGTCAGGGTTGTCTATGAGGTTCATGATTATGAGAGAGTCATCACGAACCGTTATTGTTTTCCCAGGTTTTCCAGTGTATTTAGGTTAAGCACCTTGTTGTTTAAGGGTCGAAGTACGTTTCTGAATCCCAGGCTCTTTGATGACCGGACGGACATTCTTGGGGGTAGACTGTTCGACCAAGTCACCAGTTGTTTACCATACAGCAACGCTTGGGATGCTCAGGTAAGGCGGTGACGCCTGGTTCTTCTTAGCTCTATTAACGTGGGTCGAATCACCTACAGGGCTTTTGGGCACCACTGTTGAGTTCAGGGACCCTGAACTAGGAGACCCGAGTTTACTTAGGGAGTCGAGCACCGTCGACGTAATGATGGTGCTGAGCTTCAACACGTCATCATTAGTGCTTAGTCTATTGTAAGCAGTTGCCGTCAGATCTGTGCACGCTTCGTGGAACCAACCTTTGCAGTTGTCGCACAGCATGCCAGTTGTAACAGCAAAACGGCATCTCGGACGTTTGCATGAGTTTTTCATGTTGAAGCAAACTGTTTTAGATGTTTGGAAAAGCCTAAGGCGGTAACATTACACTAAAAAGCACACTGAAAACGGAAAGAAATGGATAAAAACGAGTGAGATAAACTGAACTAGTCTATACGTGAAAAAAAACCGAATAGTAAGATGAGGCAAAACCACAGTTAACTATTAAATATGGTGAAACTCAAAAAAAGGTATAGCTCAGGATAGATTCTTTAGAACTGAAATGGTACTTTTGTTGCGTAAGAACACAGGAAAAGTTTGATAAATGCAAATCACGTTAGGACTAAACTTCCCGTTCGAAAAGCGCGCGTGTTGTACGGTCTTCAAAGCAGCCATAGTGCGAAAGGGCGATCCACCTTGGCCATTAGCCGTAAGGTTGGACTTCGATGTTAGCTGGTCGGTCTAACTCGATTAGGTCCCCAATCATTTTATGCAGACAGTCTACTATGGTGGTCTACAAATGGATAGGCGTTCTCAGGAATACAACTTAATAATATCATTAAAATTCGTAAAGAATCAACAGAAAGTCATTAACTTTTATTGTCATTGTTGTGTTGGGAACGGTCAAAATATTTAGTCAGCAGATTATTATTGCTGAAATTCAACCTTCACTTGTGGCGGCTTTTCAGAGCTATTAAGAAGGCCTTTCCGTCTCGCGATGTTGCTCGTGCTTTGGTTGGTTGTATTTGTCATTGAAAGACCATATGGTAATTGGAAAACTATCAAACTAAAAAATTTTAAGGTGCGTCCACAATAGAACAGTACTTGCAATTCATCCCTGTTAGTGGAGTTAGACATGACATCTTTTTCTATGAACATCCTGGTCTGCGAAATCCCATTGAAATAGATGCCACTATTAAACAGCAAGTTCGCATCAGGATTGTAGAACATCTGAACGAGCTTCCTGTGTTAAGAATTCATTGTGTTGTTGCTCCCCTCGATTCGACTCATGAACTCGTCTCTGCTTACTTATGTCGCAGGGTAATTTACCATTTTGAATTATTAAATTTGTGTAATGTGGAGTTTACTAACGTTTTTATCTTGTTTGTTTGTTTCTGGCTGATTCGTATGTATATAAGCTGTGATTTCTATCCTGGTTTATGTACTAGTTGTTAACCGTATGTTGTATGCTAGGGATGCCACACTATGAAGCACAAATTAATCATGAAATATGCTAATAATCAGCTTTTTATGTATTCTAGGTAAGTTTAGATCTGTTGTAAGACCATGAGCTACCTTTACTACCCTTTGTCCTCGTTACAGTCTTCTGTCTACTCTGCTTACATCCGTTCGTTTCGCATGCTCTATCTGACATGCTCTTCAGAATCTCTAGAACTGTTCATTCAGTCATACGTTGTACATCACTCGGGCTAACTACGCGTTTGTTTACATTTCGCCGTCAAGTTTTTTGAGCTGAAGATGTACGTAGTAAACTTAGTCAGAATTGATTAAAACTTGAATGGTTGTTACATGAATTTTGATTATGTTGCAAGTAGTTGGAGTTAACTCCTGTCAGTTCTGAAAATGGTTCTGAGTACTGTGGGTCCTTACAGTTTCTAGTTCCCTGTACATAATAGTTGAGTTGAATTTATTTCTAATAACATCACATGCTTACTAACATCGACAAATATGTTAGGATTAACATCAAGATGGGAAAATCAGCTTCAAGATCGTGGCGGTCAGGAGTTGGGATCGCGGTTTTCATTGCGAACCGATACCAGCAATAATGTAAGCTTTTTATAATCCATATCCTATTTCTTAGTCCGGGGATTATAACTTATTCACTTATCTTTGCTATCTTTCTGATGAGTTAAAACAGGTCAATGCCGGCAGTATACGTTATGTCCAACCTATATTAAATAAACTAACACAACGACAGTCTTCGTAAATGTAGCCCAATGGACTCCATCAAATTATCTGGTCTACGAGTCTGCTGTTTTGAGATAATCTCGGTGCATAGTTTAATTGACAAACCAATCTTTTTAGTGTTGACCACTTCATGTATTTTAAAAGTCTAATCGATAATTTTTGATTTACCACCGACCAACTCATGATACTGAGAGGAATACTAACCATTTGTGGCAGGTAATTTACTTGATCATACTTCGGAAAATCAAGCGTGCTGCATAGTTTCCTCCTCGTCTTGTTACTTTTGTAAATATGGTTTTGAAATGTTGATCTTACTTGGTCGTTGTTATTTTATATTTGGAAGTATCCTAACCTGTACGCATTTGTTTATCTAGCTTTAATTTCCGTGCTATTTTGTTCGTGAACCACTTATTTTCTTTATTATTCCAGAAGTCTACGCACGATTCGGATGAATGCATTGATCCTAAAACAAGAAATGTTATTTTCGGTCGGGTTGAGTTTAGCGCTAATGGCAATAGATCTTCAGGTATTTGTTTATTGGGTGTTAACTATTTGTCACAGGTTACACGTTTTCTTCTAGGCTACCTGTTAAAGATGAACTACTTGACGGCTTTTACTTCTGCAAGTATCATAACCGGAATGGAGAGCTAATTTCAAATTTCATTGAAATACAGGATGCGTATTACTATCACAAACGTAAGTCTCGTTGTGCCAATTAAGTTCGAGTAGTATTTTATTGTTTATGGTAAGTCAAATATCAAGTAGTTATTCATAGTATACAAAATGCGCTAAATATTAGTCCGGATTATCACAATTCATACCACAGGTTGCGGGAATTAGCAAGGGAATAACAATGTTTTGTGATAGTGAAAAGTTACACATCAACCATTTAGTTATAATCAACATAGACCCTAACACAAATGTGCATCGGCACAAGTTACTGCGCCACATCAGTATCGCGAGACAAAATTAACAAAACGAATCAAGAAAAAGTCAAGATGACGGTAGGATCCATAAGATTGCGGTACAAAAAACGGAGAAAAAAAAGTACAAAACAATATATTGAGGACAAAGAATGGATCTACCTCCTTCACTGCGACTAATTTTCAGTCGCGTTACTCGAAAATTGGGAGTAACAAATGTAGTTCGAATCAGAGTAAAATGGAATAAAAAATATGGAATAATATCAGAATGTTTCAGAGAAAGGCGAGTCACATACATTTGCACTATTGCTGATAATTTAAAGTTATTTCACTCAAGGTTTCCAACCAATAATCATTATTTTTTCCAATATGGTCTTATCTTAAAATACACGGACTTTTATCCACATAGATGCGATTACCTAATTGCCCCACCTATGACTTAATCGATAAGTATATGTTTGTGCACTCGACTTTGAAACACAATGGGGGACTCGGTAATGTTAACTAAGTTTCCTGAACCTACAAAATGGAGCGAGATTGGAATCTGCCATCTTCTGGTTGAAAACCAAGCCCTTTAACCACAAAGACATTTCTTCACAAAGAAAGGATTCAGGTAGTCAGGTATGATCAGTAATCTTTATACGACTGGTACCCACAAAAGTCGTTTGACTATTGAGCATACTTTAAGCTAAGTTTAAAAATGGAATGTCATGGATGTATGTATGCTACTCAGTAAAATTACATTTTCACCCGAAGGAGGCCTGTCATAATCTCTGGTTAGCTGTAAAAAGTAACAACCTTTGTCAAAGAGTCGGAACAGTTTATGGGATTTTGTTGGTCCAGAAACCTGTCCCGAAAGACCACCAGATATGAGTAATCCGAAAATAAATTGACGACAGATTTACACATTGGTGGTAAGCACTGACGGGAAGAAATGAGATGCAGTAGGGATAAGTAACTTTTGACAGTTCTTTAAACTAATAAAAATATCGAAGTTAAAATACTAAACTTTAAAGGGAAGGACTCAAAGATTGAACACCAGCGATCCACTGTCAGACTAAGCAAATGAAACGATGTGGGAAATTGCAGAATGACATCTACGTAAACAATGTGGCCAGTGAAAATAGCTGTACGGCTTTCGTTTGTCATACATCATGTTTCATCATCTTATTTTCATACCTAAAAGTGCTTTTGACAACTTTTTGTCTTATATTTTCCGGCCATATTCATAGGTATGGTTAGACGACCTGTAAAGCAAACTGAATATTTACCTCCTTTATCTATCAATGATCTTCCCTTGAGTCTGGAATGCGGACAAACTCAAGTATCTGAAGAGTTGCCAAGTTGGGCTGATGCAGCGTTCCCCAGTCCGTTTATGTGGTCATTTTGTGATGTAGACAGCCCTGATGGTATACAGTCTGCTGGGTGCATGCGTAGAGTTCGTCAAACATCTACTCATGTTACAAATTATTTTGAAAGTTATGTCTCTCCGAACGGTAAGTTTCATCCCTTTCTACTTAAGTTGTGGACTATTATAAAAATAACTTATTTTCCTTATTGACTAGAAATTTGTAGACTGTAATGGACGTTCATTAAGGTTAATTTATTTGTAAATTTACGACGCTAAAATAAACACAAGAATAAATCAAAAGTTACAAAAAGAAAATAGTCAATTAAAGAATTTTCTGCCTGTCTACGAATCGAGGTTGATTTAGTTGCTAAAGAGTACACTGACAGACTATTAATTAAACTATGTTTTACTGGGTAAATAGCATTTATCTGGCAAAAATTTTTCGCTTTACCCATATTCATCTTTGTAGTATTTGAAAAAATATAATCTCTTTGATTTGCTTTCTTATGTATAAATTAATTAATTGGCTTTTACTTTTATATCCGCGATTTAAGATTGATTGTATTCCTTCCTTCATCAGGTACTTTGGTGTTATACAAGCGCACAACGTCAGCATGGAAAGATATGGGTTTAGTGTGCTGGAGCCACTTGGACTCCTCAGCTGTTTATTCTACCTATTTTGGTGGTTCAAGTGAGCGGCCTAAGTTGTTGACTTATGACTCCAATATACCATTCGTTGGTAGTGGAATTACTGTATTATCACCCCTCACACAAAGGATTACTGTTCGAATTGGGCCAGTGAGTATAGAGCATGCATTCTTTTATGTACTAGTTTATATTCTGACAGCCTATGCCTAGGGCTTCATATTTATGTGACTGAGGTTGTTTGTACTATTTTCCACTGAGAAATTACTATGGTCACTGCAATTGCATCGACTACAGTAGCTGTAATGTATACTTCGAATTAACTTCTCTTATACTTTATGCTACGCAACTCAGTCATACTTTAAATGACGTAACAATGATCAGTGATTAAGAAAGTTTTCTTTGCTTCACCATAAGACAAACTTATATAACATTTCATCAAAGTGAGAAATCATTACTAGTTTTGTGTACTTTTAATCGAACTAGACACGAAAACAAACACAATTCAGGTTTATTAGTTTGTTGGTTCAATCACGTCTCATCACATATAGGCAGGGTGACTGAAATTCAAAAAGGAAAGTAAATGTAGGTGATTGTAATCAACACAGTAAATAAACAAGGCCAAAATAAAGACAACAAATCAACGCAAGAAATAGAAAAGTATCAATTCGTTTAATATTAGTTGCATAAAGAACAGATCCAGTCGTGTATCATTCCTTACGAAAGTATGAGATGAAGAATAGTGTTTTAACTCAATAACCTACCACGTACTAGTCCGTGTAGCAGGCAGTCACGTTTCGTGTGAGGAGAGATCATATTGCTAACTATCCATAAATAAGTAATTAGAGTAGATTTCATTCTAGGATTTGGATAAAATATTTACACTATCATTTATTTAATTAAGTATTATTTATTTGAATTAAAAACCAAGTTATAAAGTTACCCAAAAGTGGTATAGCTTGATACAAATCGTTACGTACAATACCAGCATAAAATGCTCTGAAAATGGTAATGAACCATATTTCGTAATCTGATTCTTTTATGGAGTAGAAGTTTAATTATTTGGTGAGACCAATTTTCGATTATTAAGATAAGTGAGTAGAATGCCAATCGACTGACAGTACGCAATTATAGGAAGTGTCGTGGATTGATGGTGGCCCAGGCGAACTAAATATTGACGTAAGTCCTCCATTGATGGCATGGTGTTAGGCTTATATACGAAATATTAGCACAAAAAATGACGATAAAATGTTATAAGTGATGAGAGAAAATCAGTTTATGCGGGAAGTATGCATACTCATAAGTCGTTTTTATTTGCAATTAGTTGTTGTGCACAGACCTTTACAAGTCACTAGTCAACTAAAGGACTTAGGTTTTGGCTGATTGACCTAATATCTGACCTCCATATCAATCATCTTTACAGGCGATCAGGACTTTGCTATGATATAGAGGTCTCTGACACAGATTTATATCGATATTTTCTTTTACGTTACCGAAAATCCTTAAGTTTATGTGTCGCTATTAGTTTGATAAAATCCCCATTCCAAACCATTACATTTCTTAAAATTTTAGCGAACTGGTCTCAAGTTAGTCACTAAGTATCGATCTACTCCAGAGTACACGACTGTTAAATGGACCAAAGACGGCAGAAGAATTCCACCTGATTTTCCAGGACACAGTGATTATCTCTTGAAGTTTCCTGATCTCATTCGCCGAGAGCACTCTGGTATGCTTCATGGCTTTTTGTGATGAATGGTTGCTAGTTGTTTATTATATTTCAGTTTGTTTGTTTATTTATGTTCCAATAGTTCAAAGCTAGTAAATCTATTGGGATAGAACAAGGCCAATGTTTTCGGAAGGATTTCTTAATCAAGTAGTTTTATTAATTAGTTTTCTAATTTTTTTCATATAGCTTTCCCTCTCATTAGTTCTGTTCTTTCGGGTTATTACGAAGTTGTTTTACTTACAGGGATGATTCAAGCTTCTGTATCTGCCTTTATGTTTCGTTTCCTAGTTGATGTTAATGTACTTGGATAGTTTTCAACAGTTTTTATACTTACTGAACATAATACTACTGTCATAGGGATGTTTTTGGCTTTTAATTGACCATATTACATTGATATTATTTTGATAGCCTAGGGATCGATTGAAAGCTGTTTTTCTGATACATCAGCGGTCGAACAGGAAAACATCGTGAAAAAGTCAGGAAAAGGCGATCTTACGAGAAGTAATGTGGAATCACATTAAGTTGTGTGTTGTTATACAGCCAATCTTTTAACAGTAGATGTTGAAAACTCCCTATGAACAGAAACATTTGATTCTTGAATAAAAGTTTGGAAAGACATCCGAGGGACTTAAACCTGTGAAGCGTAATTGACAGTGTATCGATCATATCTCCAACCATCACCATAACTTAAGACATTACATTCAAAAGTCCTTCATTCTACCTATATTTTCATACACAATGACTTAATTTAGTTTCGTTGGTCAGCATCTTTAGTGACTAAGTTTGAAAAAGATTTTAGAACAAGTTTATTATGTTATTTAAACTTTATTCGTCATTTACCATATCATAGTTTCTGTTTCTGTTTTATTTTTGAGGTTGTCTAAATATACTAATACTTATGATGTTAGCCTGTCCAGTAACCAGATTCTTATTAATTTGCTAACAGCTTTTGTTTGAACAGTTGCTTAATCTTTTCTATCTACTCACTGTTTCGTTCTAATCTCATTCACTCCTGTATGTATGTATCTGTTTTTATACTTCATCCACTAAATTTATACTCAAGCAAAAGACAATCAAACACTTACCGTTCATGTATAAAGTTAGATTTGTTTACTTGATTGCCACTAGTTTCCTCAGTCTGTTTCCTTTCATCGATCTGGTAAGTATTATTCAAAGTCATACAAAATTGATTTTCCTTTGAATTAAAATTCAACACTGCCATGTATTTTTGTCGAAACATATAAAATAGTCTTTGTATTATTTGTTATGTTTTTGCTTGTTCTCTTAAGGGACTTACAATTTACTTGTGGAAAATGGGAATGATCAAGTTAATTTTCAGTTCATAGTGAGTGTAGTCGGTCCACCTGAAGTGATACGTGCTCCTCCACCTTTACTTTTAGTGATGGAGGGAGAAAATGTTACATTTAGCTGTCAGTTGGATTCGTTTATAACGGAGGTAATTTACTTACGAAACATGTTCTTTTATGTAGAATTATCATACTTTAGGTTTTAACTAGAATTGTTTTTATTGCACTAGCATTTATGTATCCATCATATTTTATGCTGATCTTACGGAGTAGAACAACTTTTTTGAACACGGGGTGAAATCTTTATTTAGATATTGGTTAATTGTTAACATATAGTAATAATCTTATTTAAAATCAGTTTTCTGTCGTGCAGCTGTTGGGAACTAGTAGTACAGTCATTTGACTCATCTTTTTATTTTTATTTGAACATATAAACATTGGTACAATGGGGCACCAAATACTTCACACAATAACAATGAAGTTATGAAGAGATAGATAATGTAAAGTGCGTACAATAAAGAGAACAAGAAACGAGCAGAAATTAGTGTATGAGAGTAAAATAATAATAGTAATGGGAGGAGCAGTTCAGCTAGGAAAGATACTACCAGAAGGGATTTCAATGAAAGAAGTTACGTTCACTTTTATGAAAAAAGTAGAAACCACAGCAGGATCGCCACTGGTTTCTATTCTGAGTCATATCTGATAACATCTCTAGCCACCGTGTTGCACCATCTCTTGGGCCCCAACTAGGGAGTAGTGAACGACCAACAGAAGCCAGTCCTATACAGTTTTCTTTTATACCATGACATCATGTCATACTCTGACCACCTCTCCTCTATTTCCAACCAGTCCCAGTGTCGACAAATAATGCACGACGTGAGATTTACTGGGACGACATTCGTAAGGCATGTCCAAGCCACCGACGTCGATGTTTGAAAATGGTGAACACACGATTCCGAACCTGTGCATTACTAACATGGTGTTGCCACTGGATGTCAGTGATCCCTCAGAGACAACGATGGTGAAACACAGAGAATCGTTTAACATTCTCAACTCAGAGAGGCCAGGTTTCACAAGCATAGAGTAAACCTGCTCTCACCGACGCGTTGTAGATCCGACCTTTTATAGCCAGACTAACACCACGAAGGTGCCAAAGGTGACCCAGATTGGCATGAGCCGCTCTGGCCCTCACTATACGTGAGTCGATCTCATCACTCACGCCACCACCAGCACTTATGCAACTACCCAAATACTCAGACCTCTTGACTACTACCTGCCCACTACTCAGTGTGAGTGCAGGTTCAGGGTTTTGCCAGTCCTGTAGAACTACTTTGCTCTTGTAAGGCTCAAAGCACATACTATACCTACGAACACTGATTGCCTGCTGACTATGTGTGGATTGCACGGCTTGGGTATTATAACACAGTAAGACAATATCATCCTCATATTCAAGGTCGAAAGGTTTCTCCAGGAAACAGATCCACACCTACATTATCTACAGTCATCAGAGCTGTTTCGAGAATGTGATCGATGGCAAAGTTGTAGAGGTATGGTGAGTTGTAAGGAACCTATAGAAACCTAGTGCTTATAAGCTGGACATTTCGCAAAGCTGCAGGCGACTTCACTCGTCATTTTCATGACTTCATGCAACAACAGCCAATGCTCGTTTATGCTGTTCGGTTGGCTGGTAGCTAGCGTTGAACCTAGCTCGTTTCGATATTTAGTCGCAAGAGAAGCTGCAACCAATTTACTGGTATCGATCCTTTTAGGACGATAGATTTATTGGCCATTAAGACTTAAGGCAAGATTAGCTTAAATAAGGGATTGTTTATAGTTTGTTTATTGTTGTTTGAACGCATAAATATTAGTACGGAGGGGCACCGAATACATATGCGCGACACAAACCACTTGATTTGTGTTTGGGCTATGATACTGCCCGGGTTCCCAGACTGAAGCGTGTGGTTTTCTTAGGGGCCACACCCGGAGCCTTTGACTTAAGGGTCTAATCCATTAGGCAGTGGAATAACGCCAGGAAATGCGGTCACATGATAGCCAGTGACCAACAATCGGTTCATACGCCATTTGTTCCCTCAGGATCCTGAAGCGCATGTGCATAATCGGTTTGTAATCAGGGTTTTCCAACTCCGCCAGATGGACCCTCCTTACCTACCAAGCCGGTTAAAGCGCCAGACATTCGTTTTTCTTCCTCTCAATTTCGTAAACAACAACCCCGCTGCGAGAAGGAAGTTAGACTTCCCTGGTAGTGGCGGTCTACGCGAAGCCACGTGAAAGCATTTCGAGGAGAGCGAACTCTCCTCACCCTCAGCTCTTACGTATTGAACAGTTAAAATTGGAATTTTCTTGTAGTCCAGTTATATTGGTTTTAACCTTTGGATAACTGTACCTTATAGTCAAAATAAAGAATTTACCAATCATGTTTTTCATACTCAGCTCCCAGCAATTGTCAACCTTAATTGGGAATTGTTTTTACCACCTAATATGATTTTCTTTTTCGTTGTAGAAGTATTTGATACATACCTAGAAAACTGATTATTACATATAAGATTTCTGTGTTTACATCACTCTCGACTACTGGATTTATTTTTATGATGATTGTTTTGTCATTTTTTAGTCTTTAGAAATCAATGGCCTACCTTACCAACCGAATCCTACTAATTTTCGTACTGAACTAAGAGATCAATATCCGTACTTAAAAGATGCTTTAATACAACCATTGCAAAAAAATGGTCATATTTTAACTTATTCAGCCTATAATTTGCTGTTTACACCTGGTAGTAAAGTTGGACCGACTCATACTGTCAGCTTGGTTGGGAAAAATGAATATGGCTTGGCTCGAGTATCCACTCTTGTCAGAGTACTACGTAAGATACAAATATTGTTGATGTGTTTTCATTATTGTTTTGATGATACATGTGTATGCATGCTTCTTCTATTCACTTAGACAAGACAAATATTTATAGAGTATCATAGTTTCGGAAAAAATTGTTTTTTGATTTGGTTGACAGCAATCGTCCTTTCTTATCCAGGATTATTATAAGGGCGAGTGAAAATGGGCTCAGATTAATAAGGGCCACTATCAAAAAGGCACATGTTAATCGAGGTGAGCATTTTTAGTGGTGTAAATTATGTTCAATTCGCTCTCTGCCTTACTATCAATCAATCCATTCCTCGAGTTTAGTAACAAACTGTTATTCATGTTATCTCGTACGTCTATTTTGAATAGCTAGGGGATAAACTATTTAGAGAAATGCTTCGAAAACTCTTGAAAATGTTCGATGAATTTCAAATTGAATGAGTTCTAAGTGCTAAAAAATGTCTTTCTTTTAAAATTACGAGGTCACACTCGGCATTCGTCATTACATGTTTTCCCGAAAACATTGTCGATTGTCGACTTCTGCAGTAATAATAGTCGAATCACTAGGTTTTATTTAATATTATTTAGATAAACAGGCGAAACATATTAGATGGACCTCATGGAATTAACATTATTAACATACGATTATTACGCATGTATATTAGGCAGGTTATCATGTATTTCGGTTACATACTCAGGCAGACACGTCCAAACATTTTTTTGTCAAATTAATTAGTTTAAATGACGAATTCAAGTACATTGCAACAATATCTTATAGATGATTTCTCTGCAAAGGCGGTAGAAGTTTATCATTTCAAACTTGAACGATGTGTACAAAAACGTCGCGTCAAACTATCGTCGTATCATGACTGTAATACCTAATTTTTCACGCTCAGTTAATCGATTATTTATACTTCACCTTAATGATTTTGACTTTTAGTCATTTGTTGTTAAAACCATGTTTTTTTTAATTTATTCATCTTTCTCATACTCCTCAAGTGGATAATTGTCTTCCACATGTTTGGTTTTTATCTTATTATTATTTTTTTACTTTTCGATCGTTATGCAACTTTATTTCATCCCTTGAAATTGTGTACTATTTATATTTTTGACAGACTAAGAGGGGTAATGAGCGTAAGGAAGTAAGTAAGCAACAGACAATCAAAGTTCTAACCCCGACTTCCTGATACGTTAATAACTCTTCAACCAGCCTAAGAGCTTTTTACTACTACAATAATCGTGGCAACATTAACTGACAGAATATGGTAAATTAGAAGGGGATAACATCAGTTTAACTTAGATGCAAATGTTACATACATGATAAAATTTTCATAACACCGTTCAACATGTTTAGACGTGAATATTCAAATTATGTACTACTGTACGGAGATAGTCTAGTGTCGATCTTTTTTCATAATCTACGATCAGTTTTGATACATACTTCTACCTCGCACTTTCTTTGTAAGTGTTGTTACTGGATTCATGCAACAGACGGTTTCATTTCCAATCCATTTAGTCTGTTAATTTTTCAGCGCATCAATAATTTTCTATATACTCAGATGAGCGGTACCAATAAGTTAGCTAAAGCTTCTATACCACCTAACACAGTGTTTGTTTTAGGAAGGTCTTCTCCAACTTAAAAAATTGTTAATTCATCATTTGTTCATTGAAATGACGTGTAAACAAACCGTATAATACAAGTTTGTTCTACGTATCCCTGAATAAAACTAACTGACTAATTGTGTACTTAGATTGACATTATTGTTTTAAGACTGAAACTGAAATCAGCAGAGTAAAGCTAAAACCCACTAGTTTTGAGTCGAATGATTAAGTTGTTACCACATTGCTCTGCATGTCTATTAAATTCGGTAACTTGTATTTCTCCAGACTATAATCCGATAAAATCTGATAATAAATTACAATGATTTAATGTGGAAAATGATTAAAGATTAATGATTCAGATTTTTATCTCAACTTAGCTCAAACTTTATTCTTATACGGTCTGATCTTACGGTAGCCAATCTATTTTATTCATTAAGTTTTATTTATTCTCCATTTTAGCCCGAATAAACATCTTGAAGGCTCCAAAAGATTACTCATGTACTACTGATTGCTTAAACACTATTTCACATGCATTCGACTGCGTTATCGATACGGATCCTTATCAGTCTACTTACTTTGTACAAACATGGGAATTAAATGGCATTCCTGTGTCGAAAATGACAAAAGATTATCAACAGTCAAAATTTATTAAAACAGAAGACACAAAGGTAGGTGAATTAATTCAATGATATTCATAATTGTTTTGATAGAGAAATAAATGTTTATCCATTGTATGAATCTGTTTATCATGTAATAACCATTATAAGTTCATGGTTATAAGCTTTAAGAAAAGTTCACAAAAACCAACTGTAAGCTTAGTAAAATACCCATCTAACTAGTGGAAGTAAAAAGTAATTGACCACTGAACGTAGATTTACAGATACAACTTGCTATTTACTTTGTGATTTCCTTCCTATCATTGATATCTACTCTAGACTTACGAAGTATTCCTGCTTGAAATGAATGGCGTTGATTAAAGTATTGGCTATCATGTACTCTAGTTCTCCATTACTGGTCGTAAATGGGGTATTTGATATAGCGTGATCATATCTGTGTAGAGCGCATCAATCGAGTATCCAGTTTAGTGGTGGCAAAATCTCGGTCACCGGTCATAATTTCGTATTCTAATACTGTATCGTGAAAAAAGAGAAATATATTTTATTCTTCCTATATATCGTATATAAATTATATTCTGTGTAGATATCAGAGGTAATTGTTGCTAATCACACACTTAAATTCGTTTCCTATATATACACTAAAATGAAAAGTCAGCTTTCTTTTCTGAGAAATTGACCCTTAGAACTAGACATTTTAGGTTTTATTAATATTAGTAAATATAAAAGAATTTCAACTGCATTTATGGTGGTCGTTATTTTTCTAGTTCAAATATATGCTTTTATTAAACAATTGCAGATTATTTTCTTTCAATATCGCAACAGCTTTGACAGTTAGCTTGCCATTCAGCTTTTACTGTGACTGTCTGGATTTTCAAATACCTTGCCTTCCTGTACAGCGTTCAACCTACATTAACAAGTATTCATCGGCTTCAATTGTTGCGATATATTTTTTTGTGTTAAAACAGAAGAACAATATCGTGTTATGTATACTTATATTTTTCAAGAGAAAATTAGATTTTGACTTGAATAATGTATTCATTTCTGGGTAAAACCTACAATAAAAAATATTTCATCAATGTATGGTTTATGTAGATGAAAATGTGTACATATATGTTCTTTTATCTAGTTGATAATCACACCCGTTGATGATCCGTCCTTAACTGTATTGTTCCGAAAAGTGAATGTGACGTGCCGTTGGCGTATCTTTTATCCGCATGTGACTTCTCGGATTGCAGATCTGGATACAAGACTTTTGGAACCGAATATGAAGGTGTATGATTCTCATGAGGATGCAAAAATCCGTCCACTTATGACAGCAGCGTTGGATCTACAAGTGGATCATGACCCAACTCCGGGTTAGTTGGAATTTCCTCTTATTCTTCCATTCCTTCTAAAATGATTATTATTATTATTATTATTATTATTGGATATTCTCGTTTCCTTTACATGATTTCTTACACATTTATTTTCTTTCTTCTCTATCCTTTTCCTGCATAGCATCAGCTAACATATCTTGGATAACAGCTGTGATTATCGGTATACTTGTTATAATTGCGATCGGAGTTCTAACTGCTTGTTTGGTCATGAGATTCCGTGGAGAAACTTATATGCGTAAGTTTATACTCACTGAGATTATATAATGTGTATAATATTCTAATACGTTATTCATCGGAGACTATGAATACTGCTAACACTTTCTTTGACTTTAATTCTTCGATTGGGAGTTCAGAGTCTATGAAACGTTTACCAAGTCTGAAGTTTTGAGAACAGTTTCTTCATGTATACTTATCAAGTCATTGTAAGCTTCTTATTCCTCACGTGTATAACTGAACGTTTTTTTCCCTGGGTAATCGCCAAATCTGTTCACTGGACTACCCACCCTAGTTGGCAAACTGTAGATCGCTGTTGGAACAGATTGGATTGGACTATTCTTATCTATAGACTGAATGTGTTCACGTATCTCACCGATAAGATCTGGTCTAAACAGGAGGAATATGTATTCTGTTTTTCGATATCGTCACCCTGCCAGGCACTACTAACATCCAATTTCACGTTGGTACAAGTAGTATATCTTACTAGTTTCAGATAGCTAAATAATTTTAAGTTTTTACAATTTTACCTTAAATGTACATAAGATACAGGTGTGTTTTAAAGCCTTCTTATTTTTTAAAGGACGATCTTGAAATTTCACCATTTATTTATTCCTTACCGCCCATATGTTATTACATAGATTCAGGGATTCATCGTTTTTTCCCATCTTTTATGTTCTCCACCTTCACATTATTCTAATAACTGTTACTGATTACCTGACTTTAATTCCATGTCGTAGATCTTTGTGTTATATACGATGAAGTGTTTATTGATGCCCATAACTTGTGTTAATTTATCTCAGCTATTTATTTACTCTGAAGAAGCGTCTTACATTAAGTCACAAAACGTCAGAGATACAATTTTTCTACTCATTGGGATATAGCAAATATATATTTATTTTTCCTCCCAAAGTTTGAATAAATGGAAATGATTAACTACGTATTCAGAAGAGCATCTAGTTAGCTTTATCAGTAATCGTGTGCGGAGTTCCTCAAACTCTTAAAAATGCTTAAAATTTAACTTTGTTAAGCAGATGAATCTGATGATTATGAATTTAGAAAGCCTTCATTCAGTTGTCATTCAGTTCTCGATCACTATACTCAATTGAAACAATTCAGTATTTTAATTTCAAGTGAAGACGAATACAATTTTGATATTGCTATCGACTGGATCACCTGAAATCTGTAATCATAAATTTCTTGGTAATTTAGGAGAATGCAAATTCTCCATCAAACTCTGTCCTGAGCAATCAGTCATTAACAACGTAGAACTCCGTACGTACGTACATCAGTTCGAGTTGCCACACCACGTAAGCATAGAGATGCAGTTGTCGATTCAAATCCCGTAGTGGTAGAGGTAATAAGAGTATAAGCAGTAATCGGGAAGATTAGTGTTTGGAGATGTTACTTAAAGAGTATAATCCAGTGAGATAAATTTGGAAAGAAAATAAAGGACATGGAGAATTCAGAAGATTAGAATTCGCGAAAACACAAAGAGTGGATGCACCTGCGCCATTGCAAACGATTTTGAGCCATGTCATTCAGGGTCTCTATCAATCGGTTGCTATCACCTCGCAATCCCCAACCAGGTAGTCTATACCTACCAACATGGCACAGTTCACTTGTCAGTGACGTCATGGACTTGTGCCATGTTTTGTTCTGGCCACCCCTAGCTTTCTTCCAACCTACTTCTATACCATAAAACATCGCACGTCGGGGCAGTCGGTGGTTGGATATACGAAACACGTGTCCCAGCCATCTCAACTGATGAAGTTTCACTACATCATCACTTGATTTGCCATCCTTACCTAGTACCCGTTTCCTAACAACTGCATTACATGCTCGATGGTCCCACGATATAGGAGCAATATTTCGAAGACACCTATGATCAAATACTAGTAACTTACGAATATCCTCTACTCTTACCGACCATGTTTCACTGCCATAAAGTAGGACGGGACGAACTGCTGCGCAGTAAACACGTCCTTTGGTTGATAGACGGATATCTCGCCTACGCCATAAATGACGCAAGTTGGCAAAAGCTAGTCGAGCCTTCTGTATCCGTGCTGAGATTTTGTCACACACCAGACTACAAGGGCTGATGAGACTTCCAAGATAAGTGAAGCGGTCGACACGCTCAATTACTTCACTCCCTATCACTAGTTCGGGTGTCGATCCAAACCAGTCCTGAAGCAACATTTTGCATTTCGAGGGGGAGAATCGCATACCGAACATGCTTGCATTGTTACTTAGAGTGGCCAGACGACAGCATTTTGTCAGCGTCTTCACCAAATAAAACTATGTCATCTGCATATTCCAAGTCAACAAGTGAACCTCCCGGTAGAAATTCAACCCCTGGAAATCTAGACGAGGAAAGTGTCATCTCTAAAAGCACGTCGACGACAAAGTTAAACAAGAATGGAGAGAGTGGAGAACCCTGACGAACACCACTTGAGGTAATCAATTCTGATGACAGTACGCCATAAGCTCTCACTCTACCAGTTGTGTTCGAGTAGAGAGCCTTTATAAGGTTAATGTACTTCTTTGATACTCCTTTCACTGACAAACACTGCCATAGAACCTCACGATCAACAGAGTCGAATGCTGCCTTAAGGTCGAGAAATACTACCATTGTGGGGCGTCTGAACGTGTGTCTGTGTTCTAGAACCTGTCCTAGTGTGAATATCTGGTCTATACAACCACGTCCAGGTCGAAAACCAGCCTGGTTTTCTCTAATCTGCTCTTCACGAGCTTTGATTAGGCGTCGAAGTATTATTGAAGCTAATATTTTAGATACTATATTAGTCAAACTGATTCCTCTGTGATTGTCACAAGAGGACTTTTGTCCTTTCTTATAGACTGGCACAATCATTGATTGAGACCAGTAAGATGGGATTACGTCCAGTTCCCAAATTCTACCTAAGACCTCAGTTAATCTCACTGTTAATACTGAACCACCATCCTTAAAAATCTCAGGAGTAAACCTGTGAGGGCCTGCTGCTCTCCCTGGCTTCAGATTTCCTATGGCTTTTTCAACTTCGTAAAGAGACGGAGGACCTACATTAACTTACCATTCAGGTTGACTGGAGATCGTGGGAAACCGAAGTGTGGCTGAAGGCTTGGACATGTTCTACGAATGTCGTCCCAGAGAATTCCACGTCGTGCATTATTTGCCGACTCTGGGACTGGTTGGAAAGAGCGGAGTGGTGGTCAGTATATGACATGGTGTCGTGGTATGAAAGAAAGCTGCAAAGGACTGGCTTCTATTGGTCCTTCACGACTCCCTGGTTGGGGTCCGAGAGATGGTACTACACAATGGCTAGAGATGTTATCAGATATGGCTGAGAATAGAAGCCAGTGGCGATCCTGCTGTAACCTTCTTTTACTTTCTTCGTAAAAAGTGGTTGTATCTTCCTTAACTGAAAGATTTCTTCTGATTATACCCTTCTGTTCCCCTACTATTGCTATTATTATTATTATTACACTACCTTACACCAATCTCTTCGTTATTGTTTATTCTTTTTTTACGTTCCTCACTTTTTTTTCCTCTTAGATTCTAATTGTTTTGTGTGGCGCATATATATTCGGCGCACTCCTGTACCAATATATATGTGTTCAAATAAAATAATAAAATACTAGTAAGACGCAGGCAAATACGCGCTCGTACTAGAGCATGATCTGAATCTAAGCATGTGCTCCAGAATGAGCGACAGTCTTCTATCGAGCCCCTTCATCGGTGGTTGATAGCGATGTGGTCTATTTGGGTCCAACGTTGGGACGAATTAGGGGGTCACCATGTTAAAAGATGTTTTTGCTCATGCTTAAAGTTGGTATTTGCAAGGAACAGGCGGTTATTTGAGCATAGCTGCAACAAACGGTCGCCATTAACTGTTCTTTGAGCCACGATGCTATAAAACCGACCCAGGTGTCTTTCCCTATCGCTTAGTTTACCTAGTTGAGCATTAAAGTCACCAGCCACTATTACTATATCGGAGCGCCTAGCTTTTCGGAGGTCGGAAAGCTTTCTGTAAAACTCATCTTTTACATCATCTGAGCTGCAGTCAGTGGGAGAATAGGCAGAGACGACGAAGAGGCAACGACGAGTGTCCCTATCTTTCCGGATTCTTACTGTTCCGTTCAGTCGGACAGCGCACAAACGACTATCTACTGGGATCCAGTCTAAGAGAGCTAGTTGTGCCCTAGGACTCAATGCTATACTTACGCCGGCGAGGCTACGAGAAGCAGCATCAGGGCTTCCAGATACACGAAGTGTGAATCGAGTTGGTTCCTTATTTTGACATGGTGAAATAAAATGAACGACGCTACTGGGATCCTGTGTGCGCGTCTCGGAGACGCAGCACACATCGATGGCGCGAGATTCTAAAGTCCTAGCTAAGGAAGCCTGTTGTCCTATGTGGCAGTGTTCGGACATTGAAAGCTTCTTCGTGTAGTTTAGAGGGGGGTTTCAGGAAACCTGGAATGACGTTCCGCGTACTCGAATCGTTTGCCCTAGCGGTGCGAGGTGATAAAGGGACGTGAGAAGGGTTAGTCATGGAGATAAGAGAGGTATTAGGAGGTGTAGAAAGGATTTGAATATGACCAACTCGGTCTCATGTGCTGTTACGGGTATGAAGGCCGATGTCACTTCCTGGCTGCCCACACCGTGAAAGGGTATTTCTTGAGGAACCTGAAAAAGAAATCGGATTGTTGGCCTTAACACCTGAGAGCGTGACCGCTGAGCCCAAGGGACAACTGTTTGAGGCCGGTCACGCACGGCCTTTTCGTGGGAGGTTTTTATTGTGTTAGCTCCGTTCTACAAAGGGCTTTACCGCCGGAGACGGAAATCCGTGAGGTAAGGTGAGGTGTGACATTTTTAGGGTCGACCTTTTCTAACCCCACTCCTCCTTGTGGAAAAGCAGCATCGCTGCAGATGCTGGTTTTTCGAGGGAAACACCTTACTGCTGTCACACCCCTCTACGGTCAGCAGTACGACTTCGCCCTCAGACCTTGAGTTGCTGCTTTTAGTCTTACCGTTCTCCAATCGACCTACCTGGCATGGTAGAACCTACAGGAACATATGTTCCAGCCAATATAGCTCGGTTGGGTCATCACGATAGGGAAGCCTGACCACTGTGTCAAGGTAGCAGCTACGGTCGGGCCTGAGCAATCATTTCCAGTTGTTTCCAAGTGTTATTTATTCTTTTGATGTCTGTCTCCGAATCCCGACGCATTTTGTTCTTTAGTCTACTACTTTTCCGTTTCCCTTCAGGATTTCAAGTTAGCACTTGCTTCTTGATGCAGTTTAGTGATTTCCGTGATGTATGTCCTATCCACGTCCATCGTCTTTTCCTAACTTCCTCTTCATTTGGAAGTTGGTTTCTTCTTTCCCACAGTAGGTTGTTGCTGATGTTATCCGGCTAACGGACATTGAGTATCTTGTGTAGACAATTTTGACTAAATACCTGTACTGTTTTGATGATATTTGTAGTGGTACTTCAGTTTTCAATTCTACAATCGAAGTGTCTTGATGTTTGTATTGAAGATTGTGACTTCTATGTTGGTTGACAGTTGTTTTGAGACTGTAGGAATGCTGCATTTTGCCAATCTTTGCCTTTACATCTGGATCAGATCGTCGTTTGTTTTAAATAGCACTGATAGTGTGATGCCTCTGTATTTCTCACACTTACTGAAATTTTCATCCGGATTTGTTACCGGCAGTGACTTTGGAAGGGTTACAATCAGTTAGTTTAAATTGAAAATAGGGTGTATATATATATCAATATACGTGTACGCACGCTACAGTTCACGTTAACAATTATCATTTCTTTAGAAGTTGTCACGTATTGAATAGATATGACCAGCTTTATTTTGGTACCTACTGTTTTTTGAGTTACCTTGTGTCTATCATAATTGACTGTGCAAAATATCCTTATAAATACTCCCTGATTTATGGTTTTGTAAGTCATTTAATGCAGAAGTTTAAATTACAATTTTTAAAACTCAGTAAACAGAACCTTGTAGTTTTCTTTATATTTTATATTTCTAATATCCAGTATTACTGTTACCTATAGTACATTAGTTTATTGTACTTATTTCATTTATAAATGTGACTTTCATCTGCATTGTGATTTGCTTACCTCTTCAGTGGATCGTGAAGAACGTGCTCTTGGAAATGATCCAGAAAAAGAACTACGTGAAAAAGAAGCATTCCAAACCTATGAAAGAGCGTAAGTTTCCTTTTTGTTTCTCCGAATGATTTTTCTGTTCAGTTTCAGTAGTACTAATAAATTTAGTGGAAATTTTAGTTTTTGCAGACTGCAACGTATTTCCACGTGTATGCGTGGTTTTTTAAGAAAACTACCCTGAAAAATGTCATTTCTTTCCATTGATTAGTGTTTAAATCAATTCGATGCGTCGGTGTTTGACAAAACATCGGAATAGATACAAAGAGCTTTTTTGGTTTTCACTAAATTGCATCCTTTGTGGTACACTGCAGATGTCATTCTGCTTCTCAAGTGATGAGCATTTTGTAATTAAAACCGCCGTGATCTACTTTATGGCTGTTGTGAAATATGGTCTTTGAAGTTATTTGACATGCACAGGTATCACGCTTTTGACTACAGATATCTTCGAAGCATTACTCACATTTACTGGAGTCTCATTGTGATTTATGCTGAAATTAGACTTCGGGTTCTCGGTAGAAATGCCAAAACGATCAATGATGTAAAAGTAGCCATTAAGGTGGTTATGACAAATGCAGCCCAAGTCCCACTTACATCTTACGCTGACGTTTATTAGTAAAGGATTATATTGTAGGAATATTAGAAGCAACTAAGTTAGCACATTGTATCAGACAATTAGGTTATGGACTATTGAAATAAGTACTGTTGTTTGTATTTGAGTCGACCTAAATCCCACCCTATCTGTTTTAGTTTGAGGACCTAGGTGGTATTGATCCTCCTAACAAGCGTTGCTGATCGCTTACATAATTCTACGCGGTTAATCAATGTATTTATTATTTTAAAACTCTTTGGGAAATGCGTTAAATAATAGCACCGTGTTTTATTTTTTATTCGAATAAATTATTATCCTTAGTGCACTTTTGAAGTATATTTTTTATTGTGTACTTTCAAAGGTTTGTAAGCAGTCGATAAAAATCCATTTTAAGCAGTTGCGATGTGGGCATGTGGTTAGATAAAAATTTTCTAACTAAATCGGTTATTTTGTTTTAGAGAAGAACCGCCACTTCGAGGCAGTCGTTGTTCATTAAATGATGACAGTGCTGAAATTGGCAGTGATGGAGATGGTGAACTAGACGATTATAATCTTGATCCTGGTAAGTTGTTACAGACTTCTGTTCTCTACTTTCATTATATTATTCAATTGGTTGTTTTAATCAGTTAATTGGACGAGAGTACTGTTTCTTAAGTGATTTTTATAAATTCACTACTCTAAAGACAAAGCTGCTTTTCAGTTTAGTCGTTTTGGCATGAATTTCAATCATTCAACTCAGAGTTTATTATTAGTAATAATGAATAAAAACACGACTCTCACGCGTTTTGTCAGTTAACCAAATTACCGTCGATCTTAGCATTTCAGCTTAGAAAAAATTAAGTTGTGCATAATGATCTAATACTTAATAATGTACATACTTTCTTCATGATCAAAACGTTTTTCGTTTTCTTTCTGTAAAAAAATGTAATAGGTAAATTCAATGAAGAAGGCTCTTTCATTGGGGAATATGCAACAGAGAGACACAAGGGCCCATCAAATCGTTTACCAACTCTTGATCGAAACTACAATCCAACAGTTTAAATAAAGTAACACAATTCTTGCCAATTTTCCCGTCCCATTTTTATTTGTTAAGTTGATTTTTACCGGATCAAATTGGGGAAATCAATTCTTGAAATTAACCAAATGGTAAACAAGCAGATTATTTCTTAACTTTTTCTCTCACCTGGGAATCACAATATTCAATTCATTCCTCATTCCCTTTAAAATTCACAATTTAAGAGATCTATCTCATTGGATTAACTTAGTTTATTTCATTATGTGTACTTACTCTTTTATTGTTTAATGTTTCCCATCTAGTTTGAAAACGGGGAACGTTCTTTAATCTTACATTTTCTTTTTGCGAAAAATAATTCCCTCTTTTGTTTACTTTCTCCTTCTTCGTTACTCCTGCTGAATCTCATTGTCATCTCCTTTTTTGGATCTGCTTTCTTTTATCGCATATTTTGTTTTTTAAAAAAAAGATTAAAAAGAGCAAAAGCTTACATCATCAGTATATTCCAAAATAACGCATCAGCTAGTCCTAGGATTCTTTCGTTTTCTTGTTAAAAAACATATGCATCATTCTTACTAATTTACACAGCTGCTGTTTTATGATAAACACAACGAAAAAGGACAATTTGTATTTATTGTTTTGTTTTTTCCTCTTCAATTATACCTATGTCATTTGACTGCTGTTAAAAATGCTTTTATTTAAATGATTTTTCTATTCTGCAGGACTTATTATTAATATTAATCATTGTAATGTTCAATTATTGTATTAACTATTCATGCCTATATGTGTACTGTTTTTATAATTGTTTGTCAGTATTAGTTGTATTTAATCGTTTGTCTTTATTATTACTTGTCAACTGTATCTCGACTTTTGTGCATTACTGTATTGTATTAGATGGATGCTTCTTTTCTATATAATACGTTATTTGGTTTAAAAAGTGTTTTAATATTGACCATTTGTTGTGTCAGTCTACATTTTTTTCATTGTCATTATTTAACCATCATATATATATATATAATCTGACATCTGTTCGATCTCATATGTTATGTACGTACACGTTTTGTGTATGTGCACATACCAACACTGATGTATGCTATAGTGATTGTTGTTTTATACATTACTACTACGACTTTTACATGAACTATTAAGTTTAATACGAAAAATTACTTATATATATCACCTTAGTTTACTTAACAAATTTCGCTTTTTTTTCAACCAAAATACAAACTTTTGTTTATTTTTTACATCCATTTGTTTTTTCCGTTTTTATGCAAATTGTTAAATACTGTCTTTTAACTTTTTGTTGTTATTTTGTTCTTTAAAGATTAAATGATTATTAATGCTTTTTTTTGTATACTATTGATGTATGCTTTTTCAATAGTTTCTGTATAACCTATGTCTAAATAAGAAATATATATTTATAGTTACAATTAATCTTAATTGTTCGTAGTGCAAGTTAGTTGATTTATAAGAATACTGTTGACGTTGCAAATCGATATTGACTGACAGTGACTGATGTTTTATATTAAAGATGAATTCGAAACATTGATACCTAAATTTTCAATCGGTTCAAAGTTCTACAAGATATACAAATTTCTGGCCTTAAGATTTTTCATCACAAACAGGTAATCTAAGAGTAGGTGGTTTTAATTTAGCCTAGATACAAGCTTCTTGGCTTAAACTAATGTAATGGTCCTTAGTTGTCATAAAGCTCTGTCTGTTGAAAGTGATCTAGCATTTAGTTCAGTTAACCGATTAAATTACATCAGATATACAGTGATATGTTGCCTTGATTGATTGTTACAGTGTACAAGAAAAATATGAAATGTAATTAGTTGTATTTGGCCTGTTTTTTACTCGTTTCACATTATGAACCTTCCAATCATTAGTCGAGTTTAAATGCCAGCATCATATTTTGAGTGAAATTTTATAATAATTGTAATTTCCAAAACTGATGCTTTAAAAGCATTACCTGTTTTTCTGAATCTATTCAATAAAATCAAATATGTAAACATAACTCAATGGTATAAGGTATTGGAAGATTTCCTTTTTCTTGTAATTAGTTGCACTCGATTGATCTTTTTCGTAAATTAAGTTTTGTTCTAAGTTGATTTTACTTAAAGGAGTAAAACTATATTATTATGTAAGAAAATATTCTTTTCATTTGCTCAACATAAAACCATTCTACGAATAACAAGCACTAATAATTCAATGGATTATTTTCAAATTTTCTCTGTACTCAGCCAACCAGATGGTTGAGATATACTAATCCCATCTAATCTTTGTGGTGATAACCAACTTTCAGTTGAAATACTCATCATTGTTCTAACCGTATTCTATATTTTATACTTCCACAGCTAAATCGATCTAAACAATGGCTTTTGTATGTGTTCTTTTTGTTTATTTCCTAATTTCAATGGTTAAGATCATGAGTCAGTTGAAGCTAGACCACCATGAAAAACGAAACGCCGTCCAGTGCTTCCAGGTTTTCCATGGTAGTCTAGCTTCAACTGACTCATGATCTTAACCATTGAAATTACTACAATCTCCACAAAAACCCATCTGATATTTCCTAATTTGTAAAAGCATACCCAATGATTGAAAATACTTCCAGTTACTATAAAGCTTAGTAAAAATAGCCTTATCCACAAGTCTTTAATAGCATAAGAAGTAAGACAAATATATTTATGAAGCTTCACATCATCTGTGTGCTAATTCAAATTTGGTAAATAAATCACTGTATATATTGCATGAATAAACTGAAATTTGCTTGATTAACTTGTCTGATTGTGTAGTACGATTTGATCTCACTCAAATCAATTCTTCAAATATAAATAGGACTCAATAAGTATGTTGTTTCAGACAGTTGATATTTTTGTATTTTTAAATCATGAAAGATAGAAAAAGTTTTCAAATCATTCATTGAAAATAGTTTGTGCAAAGAGGTACACCTTAGGCTAGCTCACAATTTCCCTTATATGAAAACTTTCTTTAAATAAACAATGTTGCAGGGCATAATGTAAGCGAATGTTTTACCAATTTGTTTCACGTGAAAGCCAATAAATTAAGTTTATCCTATTCACAAAAACTGAATCATCAAATCATACACTATTTTGGCAATGGACGTTATAAAACTTAGATGGAATCATATATAGTAGACTGATTTTCAGGGTTCATTGGAATGTTAGATGTGCATACAATTACTAACAAAATCAATGAGCTACTCATGCATTGTCTGAAACGTTTAATGGAGAGAAGCATTTAACATCTTGTCTAATCTAATTGATTTTCGTGTGATGAATTTTGCAATATAATCATTATGGTAAGCCATAGAATAACATAAATCAGTAAATAAAATAATATGTTGCAAACGATCATTTCGATAAGCGACAGTATTATGATAATCTTAACTATACAAGAAGTTTAGACAGATGTATTTATCTTATTTTCTTACTGACGATACATAGCATTAAACATTTTTTGACCTGGGCTTAAATAATAACTGACACTTAGATAATTCAAATGACCATGAACTTTAGGTTAGTGTTATTGTGTACAATAAATTTTTCGACTAAAGAATTCAATTTCTGTTATTTAAAAAAGTTATGTGCAAAGTCTTTATATAATAATACACTTTAATAGTTCGTAGTAAAATCGTACTATTTAATTGGTGAATGTCCAATGTTCGTTTAAAATCATGTTCTTTGATAGAATGTAACTAGAATCGGTTGTTCAAACTAGGATTTTCTTCATTGACGGACTTCCTTGTTTATATAATACTAAAAAGAAATCTAATAAAATTTTTATTTATAATTACCTCGCATTTTAGTGCATATGTTTTTCAACTATATATTGTACGCCTATTTATGCCAATGTGTGTTTACATTAACAACTATTCACTTTTCGAATTGTATTTTAAGATTACTTAAAATGTTTCCATGATTGTATTTGTTTACTCTAGTGTCCAAAAAGGGTCAGCTGAATATTTCCATAGGTATACTGCTAAATTAATTAGATTTCACTGAAAGAAAATTTTAGGTATCAGAGTAGAATTTTAACAGTAAAACCAGTTATTAGACGCGTAGAAAGTGATCTTAATGAAGCTACATTTATAGAGTATCTGATATGCTGTGAGTAGAAACCTACTGGCCAGTCGACGAGTAAAAATGACATGCAAATGTAAAGTTACTCGAGGTGCCTACTGATTATTGTGTTAACCGTATTGTCATAACAAATTTGTGAAGACTAGTTTCTTTTTCGTTTATTTATAGTTAACTCTCATTCGAACCATTTTATTAGACACAAAAGATAGTTGACACTCTCGTGGTCTGTATATACTTACATTCGGATACAATTTGCAGATAATTATCCCATAACCCCATTTCGTTGAGTGATTAACAAGTGCAAACAAAAATATGAGGGGATAATTATATTGAGAAGCTTTTTAAATGAAAAGAAAAAGAGTTTCCTTATAGATCACTTTTTACCTTTTCTAATCTAAAAAAGCCATTATATATTTGAAAATTCATAAACAGCATTAAAAAAGTTGTACTTATTTTAATCTGATTACTTTTTGAGTAATACATTGTTAACTTAAATTATCTGTAAGTTGATTAGACACGAAAAAGGTATTAATATCAGTAGTTCGCTTCGGCAATACCAGTATAGTTACACTTATTACTTAACGTTAAGAGTTTGAATTTCATGCTATAGGTCAAAAACATAAAGCACTATATATCTTATCCACTAATTGAGTGAAATTTATTACTTTCTAACAGTTGCAATCTGATCACACTTATAGATCATGAAACCTCCAACACTATCTCATAATCATATGAGCGCAGTATGCTTCTCGTTGTTCAAAAATCGGAGAATTTCGCCAAAAGGCAGGCTTCCACTCGAGAATAACCTTATTTTCTCCACGAGTGCCTACGTCAGCATATTCTGCCCACACTGACAGATCATATGATAAGTTGGAAAAAATCAATAAATGGTTATAATATGCATGAAAACATTATTTTAAGTAAGG